TGGGATTCCGTGGTCCCAGAACAAAATCTGTGTCCCTCTGAAGGAGAAGGAGGTGCCTGTCAAGTACTGCTCATGCAGCAGTTTTGCTGCTTGGATTTCCTGATTCCTGGATAATCAGGAATGGGATATTCCAGACTGGAATCAGGCACTGAATGGAGGCTGATGCTATGCCTTTAAACACTCAGGATTTGTTTAACTCTTCTCTTGATTTATAGACAAGAAAATATCTYGATATAATCAACTGTTTTATAATTRCAGCCTTTTAAAAGTGTTTGCTTGAAACTAACTTCACTGAAATGAGCTTTCATCTTCTCTGTATTCATAATTATTGTTTTATCTTGTTTTATTTTTCTTCATATCTGGATTTGACCTACCTGACACCTATTTTAGAAGGTAATTTTTTCCATATCTACATTTTCCTGAACATTTCAGTTCCCTGCTGGAGGAGTGGCTGAGATGTCAACTGTGCTTTTCTCTCTTACAGGGAAAACATTCCAGCTCTACTCCCATAATTTAATAGCATTATTTGAACAAGCCAAAAAAACAGGATTAGCTGCTCATATCCAAACCCACAGATTCCCTGACAAAATATTACCAAGGTACAAATCTTTCACTTATAAGCAATTATTAATAAGTTTAATTAATTAAATTTCAGTTCTAGGCAATTATTAATAAGAAAATAGCCMTAAATAGTGTTGGTGCTGTTGAGCTGGGGTGTGAAGGGCTCTGATATCTGTTGATGCTTTTTTTGGTGATTTTTATTCCAGGAAATTTGCCTTAACGACCAAGATCCCTGACACAAAAGGATGCCACAAATGCTGTATAGGTGAGCAGACAAATGCAACTTTTCCATTTATTGCTGTGGCCATGGCAYGTCTGAAATTGATTTCTTTTTAATAAATTTGGAATTAATTAAAAAGGYTGAGGGAATTGGGATGGTTCAGCCTGGAGAAGAGAAGCTCCCTGATGGCCTAATTGAGGCATTTCAGTGCCTGAAGAAGCTGCAGGAAAGGTGGAGAGAAAATATTTACAAGGGATGGAGTGAGAGGACAARGAGGAATKGCTTCCCACTGCCCCAGGGCAGGGATGGGTGGAATATTGGGATTAAATTCTTCCCAGAGAGCCTTTTTCCCTTGTCACCTTGGCTCAAGGTGTCACCCAGATCTGACTCTCAGCCAGCAGAAATTGAAAAGAATATTTTCCACCAAGGAAATAAAAATTCTGGCAGCTTGGGAAGGGCAAAGCCATCAGTTTGAAGTGGACAGAAAAGAGGTGAAATTAAGGATTCGTGTTCAGCTTGGGCTGCCTGCAGAATGTTTGACCCTGCTGAAATCTGAGTCATGGAATTATTAAGGCTGGAAAAGCCCTCTAAGATCATCCATCCATTCCCCCAACACTAAACCCTGTCCCCAGGTTCACAAATTGCACCATTCCAGCCCTAAAAATGAATATAAAGTTCAGCTGCACACTTGGAGATCCTGTTCAGCTCATCAAAAGTGCCACCCCAAAACAAATCACCCCAAAAAAACCCACCCCAAACTCTGTCTCATGTATTTCACGAGCTGTCAGAGCTCTCCAGGAGCTTCCCACCTTCTGTGTCTGGGAATTATTTTAATCCCA